TATCCTGCAACTTCACTGTTTATGAGTTCCAACAGTTTTTTCGTGGAGTCTTTAGGGTTTTATATATATAATATCATGTCACCCGAAAATAGTGAGTTTTACTTCTTCCTTTCCAATTTGTATGTCTTTTGTTTCTTTTTCTTGCCTGATTGCTCTGGCTAGGACCTTCAAATCTATATTGAATAAGAGTGGTGAGAGTGGGCATCCTTGTCTTGTTCCTGACCTTAGAGGAAAAGCTTTCAGATTTTTACCGTTGAGTATGATGTTAGCTGTGGGCTTGTCATATGTGGCTTTTATTACATTGAGGTGTGTTCCCTCCAAACCCACTTTGTTGAGAGTTTTTATCATAAATGCTTGTTGAATTTTGTCAAATGTTTTTTCTGCACCTGTTGAGATGCTCATGTGATTTTTATCCTTGATTTTGTAATGTGGTGTATCACATTGATTCATTTGCAGATGTTGAACCATCCTTGCATCCTGGAATAATTCTCACTTGATGATGGTGTATGATTCTTTTAAAGCACTGTTGAATTTGGTTTGTTAATATTTTGTTGAGGATTTTTGCATCTATGTTCATTGGGGATATTGGCCTGTGATTTTCTTTTCTTGTGGTATCCTTGTCTGGTTTTGGTATCAGGATGATGCTGGCCTTGTAAAAGGGGTTTGGAAGCATTCCCTCTTTTTCTGTTTTTTGGAAAGAGTTTGAGAAGGATTGGTATTAATTATTTTTTGAATATTTGACAGACTTTACCAGTGAAACTGTCTGGTCCTGGACTTTTGTTTGTTAGGAGGTTTTCGATTTCTGAATCAATCTCCTTACTAGCAATTGGTCTGTTCAGATTTTCTGTTTCTTCACGATTCAGTGGTGCTGGGGGTGGGGTGGAGGGAGTTTTAGTCTAAGTCTAATCCTTTAGGATTTATGTGATAAATTATTCCGTTATCCACCAGCCAGGTGGATAGCATAGGTCTAGGCAGCAATAAAAGAAGTGGGGTACTCTGTCCTCCAGGAGCTTATGGTCCAGAGGTATTTTTTAAGTACAGTTTATTTTTGAATAATTGATATGTTCACATGGTTTAAATGTCAAAATGTCAAAAGTGAAAAGGTGGAAAGTCTCCTACCTCTGACCTCCCAGCCCTCTAGTTGCCCGCGCAGGAGGCAACCACTGACTGGTAAGGGTTTTCTTCCAGCTCTTTCTGAAGGCAGTCTGTCTGTGTTGTTCAGTGGTTCATAATAGGGCCCAGGAAGGATGGAGCTAATAGGGACAACCCAGGGAAGAATTTTGTAAAGGCCCACGGCTGCAGCCGTCAGGAGGTAGGGACTGGGATGACAGGGAGGTGTGGATATTCTGCCACGGCTGCGTGGGGCTATGTGAAGGGTTAGTGGCTTCAACCTCTCTGGGCCTCCTTGTTCCTCATTTATGAAACCCCTAATCTTGGGTTTTAAACTTTTTTGTTCCTTGAGCTCCTTTAGCAATCTAAAGGAACCCATGGACCTCTTTAAATACATATAATAAAACATAGGGGATTATAAATGTAAATGAATTACATGGAAATATGGCTGGTTTCCCCACTTGGTGGGCCCGGGGGAGTCCCATCGCCCAGTGATTCCTGCTCTGAGGAAGGCCGGAGCCAGGGTCCAGCTCCCATGAGCTGTTTAGGTTCCTGGCACTGCTTGGGGCCTGGAGTTGTTGACTAGGAGAGGAGATGGGGGAAGAATTCCCTCTGAGATGGCTTTGCAAAGAGTCAAATGCACGATCCATTTTCCCTGGTCATTAGCTTCCTCCCTGCCCCCAGTCTCCTCTCCTAACTGAGAATGAGGACGTTTGTCCAGCATTCGGTTTCCAAGCGGTGGTAGCACTGGTCCGGGAAACAGAATCCCAGCCACCTGGGTGGGAAGTGCCTTCTGGGTGGATGCTGTCTGCCTGCCCTTGCAGCCCAGGAGAGCGTTTCTCAGCCGGCCTGCGTGAGTTGTAGCTGTGTCACTCTCTCCTCCTCGGTCACTCGAATCTTAGCTTTGGAGATGGGCCCTGTCCCTGGCCAAGCTTCTGTTCCTTGCCCCGTGGTGGGGTCACCCGCAGGGGCCTTCCGAGGGCAGCAAAGCCTCGTAGGTGCCTGGCTGGGCTGGAAAACATCTCAGGACTGTCCTGCCTTCAGAGGCAGAAGGAAGTTACATTCCTGCTATTGACTTTTTCCCTCTTCCTTCTGGTGTTTGGGGTGGGGTGACATGGAGGATCTTGGGGGAGGTGGGCGTTTTCAGCAATGGAGTCTTGGATAGTCTAGGCTGAGTTTTTTCGTTTCAAACAATTTAACATTGGCTAAGACAGCATCAAGCATCTTAGTGGGTCTGTTTAAGGCACATAGCAGCGCAGTGATTTCCAGTGCACCAGAGTCACTTCAGAGTGCTCGAGGCGACCTTCACCCATTCCTCTGTCATTAGTTCTGGGGTTGGAGGCTGGGAGGTGCTGCTTCTGATGTGTGTGTTCAAATGGGGAGGAGCCAATACCTACACTGTAATAGGGAGTCGATTTTCAAGAATCTGCTAGAAGATGGAATTGTGTACAATGGGAGGAGAAGATTAGAAAGGGCTGGTTCTGATACTCGTTCTGCCTGGCAGATATGCTGGCTCTCATCCTCAAAGTCTGTGGCTCGAGGACCAAACACCGTCTCCTAGGAAGATTTGTATGATTCTCTAAACCACACTGCTAATCCTCTATCTTCCATATGTTTTCTCTCTTTCACTCATAGATGCATACATACTCACACATTTACACATTCATTAAGGCAAACAGATAAAGAGGGAAAAAGCCCACAAGTTTTATTTATGCATTTATTTCAAAAATACATAACGAGCCCTTGCTGTGTACTAGGCACTGTCCTGAAACAAGCAGTAATCCAAATGGGCACAGCCCCTGCTTCCGTGGGGTTTACAGTCCACGGGGAGGAGACGGGCAACCAACAAACAAACGAATGACCTAGAACGGTATCGTGTGGAAATATGCTCTCTGGAGAAGTGGTCTCAGTATGTGACAGTGTGACGGCGTGGCGGTCTACACAGGTGAGGAGGGAACGCCTGCCTCCCTGAGGAAGTTTCTAGCATCAGTGAGATGTGGGGGTCAGGGGGACATGGTGCCAAGGCCTTGGGGTGGGCATGTGCCTGGTGTGTTTAAGGCGCAGAGAGAAAGCGGGAAGGTGGGGTCAGCTGGGGGCAGGGGCCAGATCCAGAGACCTCACAGCCTGGGTGGGAGGTTGAAATGTGACTTAACCTTTGAAGGTTTCTGAGTGAGTGAGTGCGGAGGCGCAGAGGCGGAGTAATTTCACTCAAGGGCACCCCGCTGGAGGGGCAGAGCTGGCATTTGAACCCCAGCCAGGCAGGCTCCAAGCCTCTGCTTTATATGCCTTCTTGAAAGCGGAGCCCTGGGCAGCCTTTTTGTTGATGCTATCCATTTATTTTTATTGCTTATTTAATATGTGTGAAACATTGTTATAATTTGCATTTCTTTGACCACCACTGAGCTTGAACAGTTTTTGGTCTTTACTTTTTTTATTGTGATAAAATATATATAACATAAAATTTGCCATTTTAACTGTTTTTAAGTATACAATTTAATGGCATTAAGTACATTAGCACTGTTGCGCAGCCGTCAACAGTATCCCTTTCTAGAACTTTATTGTCATCCCAAACAGAAACTATAGCTGTCAAGCAAGACCTCCCCATTCTTCCTCTCCCCAGCCCCTGGTAACCTTCAGTCTACTTTCTGTCGCTATGAATTTGCCTAGTCTAGACATTCATATAAGTAGAATCATCCAATATTTGTCCTTTGTGTCTGGTTTATTTTGCTTACGTAATGTGTTCAAGGTTTGTTCATGTTGTAGTATGTGCAAGAACTTTATTCCTTTTATGGTTGAATGTTATCCCATTGTATGCATATACCATATTTGTCTATCCATCTGTTGAGGGACCCGGGCTGTTTCCACCCTGGGCAGCTTTTTATGTGGAGACAGGATCTTTCTAGCTACTCACTCCAGCTCTGAGGATACTTTCTGGAGCCTGGAGAATCTGCGTCTGCCTTGGGGGTGGGGGGCGGGCAGGGTGACCCTCCACTATGTGTGGTTAGGGATGGTGCTGAGCTTCTCTAGGTAACTAACCCTGGACCGTTTCAACCACCCAGGATGAGCACTGTGATTGTTCTCGTGCTGCCATCCACTCTGATTTGGTTCTTTTCCTGTCCTCTTCATAGACTCACAGAGTCTCAGAGAGGTTATTTCATCATTTGCTTCTGAGCGTGAAATCATCTCCTGCAGATGGAAATTTAGCTTGTTATTGAAATTCCCCAGAGTAGCCATGTGGGAGCCCCAGGTCTCTACTGGGTGACCCTGGGCAGGTCATGCCTGACTGGCCTCAGTTTCCCCATCTGTAAAGTGGTGTAAAACTCCTTCTAAGAGATTACGCATCCTTCCTGGAGAGACAGGTCAGGAAGTTCCTTTATAATTCAAATCCAGTGTCTTCCCTGCTACTTGTACTTTAAGCCTGTTCCTCTCTCCTCTCTGTGAGAAGCAACTGGTCACCATCCCCCCACAGTAATCCTGTATTTCCTGGGCCACGGCTGTGATGTTTGTGGTCCCTCAGCCTCTGATTAAATGACAAAGCAGAATTCCCAGGGTCTAAGGCAGATGGATGGCAGCTCTCCCACTGGTTGGGTTTCTTTTCTTCCTCCTTGACATCCAGTGCTGCCGGTTGACAGGAGCCCCCCCCCCCCACCCCCCCGCTTCTTTCTGGTGCCCAGCCTTTGTCCAGAGGCCTGGCAGCTCTGCGGGGGCCTCGGGAGGGTTTGGTTGATGCCTTTCCAGGTGAACTGCCCCCTCTCTCATTGCTGGGAAATAAATGATGCTGGTTGTCATCTGTTCACTCCTCAGCCCCCAGCTGTGTGAGAGGAGAAAATTCAGGCTGCATCAATCTCCCCTGAGGCACTAGGCTACTCACAGCCATTTCTCGTTTTCAGAACAATAAATCTGAAAAATCCTGTGCTGCAGCAGATGCTGGAGAGTAAGAACGAGGTCCTGTGCATCCTGACACAGAAGATAGTGACAACGCAGAAGTGTGTGATATCTGAGCACATTCAGACTGAGGAGAAGTGCGGTGGCATGGTGGGGATCAAAACCAAGACCGTGCAGGTGTGTGCATCCAGGGCATGGAGGCCCGGGCCAGAGGCCACAGCAGCCTCTCTGGCCCCCACCATGGAGACCTTGGTCAGGGGCCTCTTTGAGTGGTGTCTTTCATTTGTCAGGACTCTTTCTGTAGCAAGTTAACAGAAATCCAGCTCAAATTGGCTTAAACAAGAAGGAATTTATTGGCTCACGTAACCAAAACGTTTGGGGTATCTGGCTTCAGTCACAGCTGGATCCAGGACTCAGAGAACATTGTGAGTTGCCTTCCTTGGGGGTAGATTCCCTCTTAGGCAGGCTCTCTCCTTGTGGTGCAGCAGCTCCAGGCTTTCATCCCACCTGCTGCAACCCCAGGGGAAAGAGTGCTTCAGGGCTGGTTCTCACAGGACCATCTCAGGTTAAGCCCATTCTTGGAGCAGACCCAAGGTCCGGGCAATGGGACACTTGGATTGGCCATGCAGGCTTGGGTCAGGCACATTCCCAAAAGAAAATGGATCAGCGAGCGCTGGCCAAGCCAATGCACAGATAACCCCTTGAGCCCCTTGGAACCAGGGGTCTCGAAATGATTACTTTGGGACTAGCTGCCTCAAATCCTTTGTGGATTGAGTTAGGGAAAGTAAAGATCAGCACATGTGTCTATATATACATAAACAGATGCTTCTGGATTAAATTATAGTCAGTCTTAGTAAGCTGACCCTTGAGCCAGTACTAAACTTCAGTTGAACAGGAGGCTATCAGCCCCAAACTGTTTCCCCTCCAGCTTGCCACGGTGCCTGATATTCTATTCCTAGAGATTTACCTCTGGGGTAACTTCAGGCTTTTGCTAGAAGACCCAGGAAAGTTGTATTTAGAAGGAGATGGGGCTATAGGTCCGGAGCTGGACTCTCCCTGGGGTGGGCAGGCTGGGTGGGCTGCGTAGCAGTCGTGAGGGAGGTGCCCGAGGGGAGATGCCTTCAGCTGGCTCTTCCAAAGTTTCTGCCTGTGCTGGCCCCGCCAAAGGCCTGCAGCCTGCCTAGGAGTTGGGAGGCCGCTGTCATCACACTCTAACCAAGATCAAGTTGCTGAAAAAGGTCTCTGATCGCCAGTGTTTGGGCAACAAATAGATTCTTGCCTTCCTCGCCCCAGGCCATTGTGGGAAAGGGGCATATTGGTACAGTGTTTGAGGACAGGGCTCTGGTGTCTGACCGCTCGGCATTTCCCCACCATCCTTCTCTCGGCCTTGCTTCTCCGCCCTCCAGCCTCTCCCCTAGTTTTGTCTAAGAGCACAGTGTGCCATCTGCAGGAGTCTGAAGTGACATGCTTGGGGGTGCTTGCTCTAAGCCAGCTTCTCCCGGTCAGGCTTTGATGTTGTTCGGGATTTTCATTAGGATTTTAAAGTGGTTTCCATAATCCTCCTCAAGGGAAATGGGAAGTCATCTTGTCTTATTTATTATCTTTTTTATTGAGCACTGTAGATCTAACCTTACTGTATTCCAAACTCTGGAATCTCACTTTTGTTTCACGAGGTTTGCCATTTTCCTGGGAATGTGTGAACACATCACGAGACCAACAAGGATTAAATGCTCGCTTCTGCTGGCTGGCCCCTCATGTCTACTCAGTTCCATGGGCATTTTCTGGGCACTTCTTGTGTGCAAGGCACTAGGCTGGGCACAGTGGGGACGCAAAGAGAAACCTGGGGGAATTTGAGTGCACAGGTGGGAACATGCGCTCTTGCCCACAGGTGTCAGTGACGAAGGATGAGAACATTATCAAGGATGCCAGCGTGGCGCTGGAGATCCCGGCTCCCACCACCATCGCGTACAGCGTCATCGAGTTGTATGTGAAACTGGACGGCCAGTTCGGTGAGTGCCACCTCCTGCTCGGGGCTGTTAGGGTGATTGAGCCATTGCTGAGGGACACCCCATCTTCCTTTGAAGCACACACTTGTAGAGGCTCCCCTACCGCTTTGGGGATTGAGAGGCAAGAGATATCGGAAGAGTTTGGGGACACCCCATGACGAGTGAGACAAGTGGGCTGCATTGGGAGGGCAGTGGAGAGGGATGCCCAAACAGCAGAGTGGGGCAAGGTTTCACCCACACAGCACAGCATTAAGAATGTGGGCTCAGATGAGCTGGGTATCAACCTCAGTGTGACAATGTCCTTGAGGTCTCAGGTAAGTTGTTGAATCTTGCTGAGCCTTACCCGTCTCTGGAAGGGTGTAAGACCTTCTTGCCCAGGGCTGCAGTGAGAGTTGAATTAGAGGAGGCATGTGAGTGGCCTGGCACAGCAGTCATTTATTGAGTACTCCACCTTAGCTATTAATAATACTGTCATCATCATTATCGTCTCACCTCCCTCCCCCAAGTATGAAGCCAAAAGTGCTGTATTTGACCTCACTCTGCTGATCACCAGAGTGTTCAGAGCTGGGAGGTCATTGCCTGACTTGAAGAAAATAAGGGCTTTGGCTTCGCCAGCTCTGCTGACCTTAGGTCCTCATGGCCCCTCTGCCACGTTCTTCCTGAGAAGAGGTTGTGTTGAGCCCAAGAAAACTGGCTGCTTCTTGGGGACATGAATGAATAAATGTAACGTAATACGTTATTGTTAACCTTTTTTAGATATATAATGATATCATGGTTATGTTTATAAAAAAGAGTTACCTTATTTTTTAGAGATTTATAGTGAATGCTTCACAGATGAAAGGGTAATATGTCTGCGGTTTGCTTCAGAAATAATCTGGGTGAGAGTAGGGTGTGTGTGGGTGGTGGGAGGAGGGAAAGAGCAGTCCTCAAGGCTGGTGGATGGTGTGTGGAGGTTCATTAGACTACTCTCTCCGTTCTTGTGTGGTTTCACTTTTTCCATAATGAGAAAGTTCTAAAAAGCATGCCATGAAAGACTGTGCACGTGTCTATTGCTGTCTCCTGCTCTGCGAGGACAGGGAAGCGATGTGGAAGTCTTCCTGGAGTCAGCCTTTGGCCCTGACTTGGCCCGCCTGAGTTACTACACCATTCAGCTCCACCTCCAGGCACTGAGAACGCTGACAGTCCTCACTGGAGGTCAACAAGCTCATGGGTGTGTGAGGAGCCAGAGGAGGGACCACGGAGGCATGGAATGCCATCGCCCCGCCTCCCTCTTTCCTTTCACAGGGAGGTAACAAAAAGTGAAGGTGTCACTTTTCAGAAGTTGGTCTAGAGAGGGAGGTCAGGGACACATGGATACCAGGAATACCAAGAATCATGACCTACATCCTTTAGGCCCACAGTTCCAAATGTGCATCATCCTAGGCATTTTCATTATTATTTTATTCTTTCTATTTGAAAGACTTCCGTCTACCAAACAAATTGCATTAAGGCAATGTTGTCCCTCAGGTTTCTGTTATTGGTGCATGATAAGCCATTACCACGTGTGCTATTGTGGTTTCAGCATAGGATGCTACGCCTTGGTTATCCTGTCCAGATGGATTGGCGGTCAAGGTGTCGCTTTTGTAAGGCCTTTTGAAAGCTTGGCCGACACCGGAGGTTGCCCACAGTGCTGAGAGGACCCTTCAGTGGCTGGGGGCCAGGCTGGGGCTGCCATTCAGCCTGTGGGTGCCCCTTCCATGGGGATGGCAGTGCCCGGCCTGCCTGCAGCTCTGTCGGGGCCTGTGTCGCTCCCACCGGGGCCCCTCTTTTCTCAGCCAGGGTTGGAAAGGCACAGCTTCGCCTGGTGTGGCTCTCCTGTTTGCATTTCAATTCCAAGCCTTTTATCTTGGCTTGCTTCCGCTGTCTTTGAAGATAAACTCTTCTCAGCGCTGCTGAGAAGAGGTGCCCTGGGGAGTTCTCAAGCTTCCTTGCTTGGCCTCCCACCGCAGGGCCGGGAAGCCCCTCACCCTTGTCCTGTCCCACTGCCGGCCGCTGCTCCTCCTGCGCAGCTCGGTGGTCGGGCAGCCTCTGTGTGACTCTCTGCCTGGTTTTTAACTAGTTCTGCTTTTATTCCCCATCTGTGTTTTCTGTCGCTCTTGCCACAGAATATTCTGATCTGCTTCATGAACATAGACCTGCGGGGGCCAGAAGGACCTTTAAGAGGCTGCTTGATCTCTCCTCCCTCGTTGCGGGTGGGGGGACATTTGACAAGGAGCATATTTGTCCTTTGAAACTTGGAGAGGAGGCTGACTCTCTCCATGTCCCTTGGGGGTGGCATCTGTGCAGCCCATCCTTGCTGAGGGGTTCTCTCAGCCACGACCCCTTCCTGCACCACCAGCTCCCCTCTCGTGGCCACTTGGAAACATCATTTGTCGTCTTGAACTTTGGCCCGTGCTTTGTACAGGGGGGCGTTTGCCAGCGTCTTTTTGGCAAAGCACCTGGTGGCTGTGAGCCCGTGCATCCCCCCTGCCCCGAGCTGTGTGCTCCTGGCCAGGCCCACCGCCCGACACCCACGTCGCCCCCCTACGTCGCCCCGCCGGTTCCCGCCAGAGACTCAATTGGCTCCTCTGCATCTCTGAGTCTTCCCCCGTCTGTTCCATCCTAGCAGTATAACTAATGTGATTATTTAGAAACAAAGATCTGGTCATTTTACTCACCTGCTCACACAGCCTTCCAAGGCCCCCTTTGTCCCGAGATAGTCTGCCACTTGCAGGGCATTGTGGTCTAGCCCCCGCATGTGTGCAGCCTTTCTTCTCATCTCCAGCGCTTCCCGCCGCAGCCATCTGGTCAAAGTTCCCACCGTCTGGGAACGCTCCGCTCTTGTCCCCGAGCCCCCGTGGCTGGTGCTCCTCTGTCTGGAGGGGCCTGTCTGCGTCTTTGCCTGGTGAGCCTTTAGGAGGCTGCTTAGACACTGCTTCCTACAAGAAACATTTTCTGGTTCTTTCTCCATAAGCCCCACTCTGGCTTCAGTGACTCACCCACCTCCTCCAGCACCACCCCAGGTTACCCCTTTCCCCACTGGTACCACACTTATTGTCAAGGCCTGCGTTGTAGTCGTTTTGTATCTCTGGCTCCTGACACAGGGCCTGACACTGAAAAGAATGAAGGAACTGGCAGTGGCTTTGGGCATCTGGGTGCGTATAAAGGCAGATGTGGTGCTGGTGCCATAGGCTCCAAAAGTACCCGTGGGGGCCCCACAGGACTCCCAGCAGGATTTGAGGCTGTGTTAGTGGTCATGGTCCCTGTCCTCGGGCAGCAAAGTCATTACTTACTGGGGCTGGTTCACACTTACCTCAGTGCCTGGTGCAAAGGGCGGGCGAGCTGGGGCCGCCAGTGAGTGTGGGTCGGTTGAGTGAGTGAAGGAAGGATCACTCGTTTGTCTTTAGACCACCGTTCTATCTTTATGAACGTCATTAGTGCCCACAAGCAAATCAAAATACATGCTAACACCCATGCCTTCCACATGTCACTCACATGCCAGGCTCAGCCACATGCTTATTCCATAACCTGTGCTTAAGGACACAAATGATTAAATAGAAGCATAAAAAGAACCCTAATTCATTAGTTCACTTGTTGTTTTTCCTCCGCAAGGACACAGTAACTGTACATTTTTACCTACAACTTAGATTCCTTAGTTGGGTTCTCAAATATGAAAGTATAATAGGAACATTTCTTTTTATTATTTTGGAAAATTTTTTATCATGGAGAATTACACACATGTTCGAAAGTAGAGATAATGTAATCAACCCCCATGTACCTGGCACCCAGCTTCAATAACTAGGGCATTTCAGGTTTTCTCTGTAACTTCATTGCCTCCCTCCACCCTTGCTCAATTGTTCTGAAGCAAATCCTAGGCCCTATATTGTTTGGTCTATAAATATTTCAATATCTCTAAAAGATAAGGTTTTTGAAAAAAGACTAGTTTTGCCTTCATATAGATTCACGCATAATATATTCTTTTGTGTCTGGATTGTCTACTCAACATGTTTGTGAGATTCATTCATATAATTGCAGAAATCAGTAGTTTATTTTTTTATTACTGTGTATTATTCTATTTATTAATGAAAAATTAATTAGTTATTTATTAATGAAGAAAATTTGACTCTTTAAGAACATAACCATATAACCACTTGTGCACTTAAGTATATTCTCAATAATCAGTTCAGTCAAATTCAGGTTTTCTCAGTTTCAAATATGGTGAGTTCTCTTTGTTTGTTTAGAGTTGGTTTGTTCAAACCAGGCTGAGGAAGTACTTCTGATGTTTGAAAGATTGCTTCCTGCCTCTTCAAAGAGGACACACTGGAGAGTTTCATGTTAAGAACCACCATTTCTCTTGGATTTGGAGGAAGTGAATGAAGTTTGGTCAAACAGCATGATGTGTCTGGGAAGCGGGTTTATGGAGAAGAGTGCCCTGCCAGAGTTAGGTAAAGCCAGGTCCAACTTGTGCCTGACTTGTCCTTTTTCCCGCATTACAGAATTCTGTCTCCTACGAGGGAAGCATGGTGGCTTTGAGCACCAGAGGAGGAGCGACATTGTCTTCCCGGACGCCGGGGCCTTACAAGACTTTCCGTTCTGGGATGTGCCAGATGCTGGGCAGGGGCTGCCTACCCCAGATGGGCCATTGAGTGTTTTAAAACAAGGTATTGCCAGCAGGGTGGGGCACAGTGAGCTGATGGCTAGTTGAGCACTGTAGCCCAAGAGCTAATGTGGCCTTTAGGAGCAGTGAGTCCTTAGTGACTTCATGGAAAATGTCTGAGAAAGAGAGGACGGTGCCTCTGAGTCAGTCCTAGTCTACTCATCGGGATTCACCTGTGTTGGATCTCGGGAACCTCAGGTCCTGGGTGTGGTGTTTGAGGAAGGGGTGGGAGACTGGGAGACTCGGGAGTGAAAGCATCAGGGGCCTGGCATTTACTTTTTCCTTTTTAACCGCAGAAGCCTTGCTGACTCCTAAGAATAGCTCGTCAGCAGCAAGGAGAGAGAACCCGGGTTCTGCATCTGTTTCATTATAGTCCGGGCTTCATTGCCAAGACAAGCAACGCTTTGTCAGCATTGCAAAATGCTCTCTTGGAGGCTCTTCATCCACATGACATAAGGCGTCTGGTGCCACAGCATCCAGCGAGGAGGAGGGGAGGACCTGTGATTTGCCTGCAGCAATTCCTTTTGCTCCCCACAGCATTTTGTGTTTTAAGAAGTTGGTTTTTTGGGGGGGTGGGGGAGGAGGGGGAGTGAAGTATACAGTAGACGAGGAGAAGGGCCAGGACAAGGAGACACAGTTAGGTAAGAGCTTAGTAAAAAGAGCCAGGAGCAGTTCAGAAGATGCTCTGGTGCGGAGGGTAAGAAGAGACTCATCTATGAGGCTTCAGTGAGTCCCAAACAGAAGATGCTTTTGTTTCTGTTGCAAAAATATCAGAGTTGGAAGAAATGGCAGTGAAGGCCCAAGCTTTTTTTTTTTTTGAGGAAGATTAGCCCTGAGCTAACATCTGCCACCAATCCTCCTCTTTTTGCTGAGCAAGACTGGCCCTGAGCTAACATCCGAGCCCATCTTCCTCTACTTTGCATGTGGGACGCCTGCCACAGCACAGCTTGACAAGTAGTGTGTAGGTCTGCACCCAGGATCTGAACTGGCGAACCCTGTGCTACTGGAGCAGAATGTGCAAACTTAACTGCTGCGCCACCAGGCCGGTCCACAAGGAGCAGTCTTAGGATAAGGCTTTCCCATCTACTGCAGGGCTGCAGGCCCCTCCTCTGCTTCCTTGAGATTAATAACTGGGTGTGATTTTCAGCTGCCACTTAAGCACTGTCGATGTCATGGGTTAGAACCACAGCAGCAGTGGTCCTGCAGCCTTGAACTGTGCTACAGGGAAGTGACAAGACAGTCTATGGGCTACGGCTTTCTTATAATTTCCTTTCCCAACAGTCCACCCTGTAAGTTGTCTGTTCTGGTGAGCCCGGGGTGGAGCAGGGAGGCTGGGCGTGTTAGGCAGGAGTTGGGTAGGGGGCTAGCCTGGCCTTTGTGCCCTTGGACCCTACACCAACCAGGACAGTTCTTCTCTCCAGGCTGGAGTGGTAAAGACCTAGTAGTGTTTATAGGGCAGTTTCTGAATATGTCAGATACTGATGTGACATGTCCCTCTCCATGGAGCTCCTCTACAACCATGTGCTGGAATTTACCATCAGCAGAGGTGATGCATTTATGTATTAGTATGCATCCTTGCATATGAAAGCTTTGGTTTATCAAATCTTGCTTTTAAATCCCCCTGGGCTTAATTTACTAGAAACTTTTGACTATCTTAAAAAGAAGAAAAGGAAGATTCTAAGGGGAGAGGCTCAAGAATCCTGCAGAGGATGTGAGCAACCCAGCGGGTGGGCCTGCATGCCGGTTCTCCGGGACCACCGAAGAAGTGTGAATGGGAAAATGCAACAGCTGCACCCGCCACGAAAATAGGGTGCCAGTCTCTCTGAAAAGCATGCATTAAATGTTAAAGGATATAAAATCTGCAATGTATTAGAAGAAAGGACATGAAAAATAATGTATTTTGGAATTTGCATGGCTCTGAAGCATTGTAAAAGACTGACAGATGTTTAGTAATTCAGCCTTGATAATTCACTTCTATAGAAATCATGCTAGGGGCTGGCCCGGTGGCACAGTAGTTAAGTTTGCACATTCTGCTTCTCAGCGGCCCGGGGTTCCCCGGTTCAGATCCCGGGTGCGGACATGGCACCGCTCGGCAAAAGCCATGCTGTGGTAGGTGTCCCACATATAAAGTAGAGGAAGATGGGCATGGATGTTAGCTCAGGGCCAGTCTTCCTCAGCAAAAAGAGGATTGGCAGTAGTTAGTTCAGGGCTGATCTTCCTCAAAAAAAAAAAAAAAAAGAAATCATGCTAAAGAGGAGTCTAAATGACTTTCCCAGAAAATAATCGATTAGACTTAATTAATGTTTAGTGAGTCATCTAAAACAGAGTGAAGTCTGGGTGGCCCTCTTTCTTTTCTGTCTTTCTGTCCCTGCCCCCTTTCTTTGTCTTGTAGTAGTTACTGGTTATTGAAAAACACACAGGGTGGAATTGAACTCGATGTTCTGTATTTCTGAGTTCCACGACTGACTGTGCAGCAGGGAGTGTCTGTGAAAGAACTGAGGGCAATTAGTCATAAAATGCAAGAGCTGCTGTCCCTTGTTCTGAGACACGCGTGGCAGTCACGGGACTGTGTTCGCTGCTGCTTTCACAGGAACTCGGCTCCTGGAGAAGAATTTCTTTCCCTTTGTGGAGCTGCCGGAGCAGCACCGGACAGCGCTGAACACCGTCCTCCAGGCGGTGCTGTCTGACGAAGAATTACTCGCGGTCCTGGAACAAGTGGTAAGACCTCGAGGCAGTGTCCTCACCTGGGTTTTCCGGAGATGAGGACAGGCTACAGCTCTAGGGACAAGGCTTTGAGCTGGAATACAATAGCGTTTCAAACTTCCCCACCTCCTTTGAACCCTAAAGCTTCTTTTTTTCTTACTCCCAGCAGCTCAGTTTTCTAACTGCAGAAAGTAGCTGATGTCAGGAACCCAAGGTTCCTTAGTGCTGCTGTAGCAAATGACCTAAACTTTGTGGCTTAAGACAACAGAAATTTATTCTTATGGTTCTGGAGGCCAGAAGTCTGAAGTCAAGGTGTCAGCCAGGCTGTGCTTCCCCCAAAGGCCCCCCTTCCTTGCCTCCTCCAGCTTCTGGTGGCTCCTGGCATCCCTGGGCTTGTGGCTGCATCATTCCAGTCTCTCCTCTGTCTTCAGATGGTCTTCTCTGTTTTTGTGTGGTGTCTCTGTTTCTGTCTCTTAAGAGATGCCGCCATTGGATGTAGGGCCCACTCCACCCTAGGAGAATCTCATCTTGAGATCCTCACCTTAATTACCTCTTCAAAGATCCTTATTCCAAATAAAGTCACATTCTGAAGTTCCAGGGGGACATATTTGGGGGCTGTTATTTAACCCACTACAAGGAGGCTATCTATGTGTTACAGTCCAACAGGTCAACCTGTTCTATTTAGAACAGATTGAAAAGCAGGCTTCTGTGTTTTCTATTTTGCAGAAGAAGGATCTTCGGGAGAGGTTGAGTTCCTTAACTATAAATTTTACAAATGGTGAGGGACATGCCAGCTGCCAACCTCCAGCCACCCAGACTTGGTGCTTGCCTTCCCTGAAGCAGGCTGGGTGCTATAAACCTGATTTTTACTATGGTTGGTTTTGTGGTTTTTTTCTGTCTTTTTTTTCTGTTACGCAGAGAGTTTGAACTCTGATTTTCTGATTTAATGCTTTATGGTTCCCAGGAGATCATTCATATTATTTTTCCTTCTTGAAATTGCATTGTGCCAAAGAGCTTCATGACCAGTGATGGAACCTGTAGTTGTTGGAATAGTCCCACAGCCCAGGACATTCTGGAGGATGCAGAGCTCCTGGGAGGGCATGCTAGCCCCAGGGAGAACACAAATGTTTCAAAAAGGCCACTGACTTCTACTTCCTAAAACAGCTCTTTCCAAGAGGGAAAGGTCAGGCCAGCACCCTCTGGAGAGAGCTCAGCTGCCCTGTCAGGTGCTGGAGAAGCAAGTTGCCTGAGGGAGGGGGCTGTGGGCTCTCATCCGAATGGATCTGGACATGGAGGCCACGATGGAGCAGAAGTGGCTGGTTGATGCCAGGGTGGCCAGGGCCACCCAGCTCTCAGCAGGGCCACCCAGCTTCCAGCAGGACCCGTGAGGATGGATGAGGCTGCCCCGGGCCCAGCTGGGAATGTGGCTGGGGCTGGGGTGCCCAGTCTAGATCTCAGGACCATGATAGGATGATGCCTTTGGGTTCCCCTCCTCAGTCTGCGTGTCATCACCTCTTCCTGGTACAACCTGACACACCCTGCCCTGGAAGGTTCCACCCACTAGTTCCTGCATGCCCCTTCTCTCACTGGGAAAGAATAGTCCCTGGGCGAGGCTCAGTTTACTGTCTCCTTAGGGGGAAATCTAACCTGGTGGATTAGGAATTTCAAAACACAGAAAAAAGCTGCGGATCTTGCTTTAGTTGGGAGATGGTGATGGACAAGGGGCTGCCTGTCGTGGGGCAGACGCCCAGGTTGTGCCCAGCTTGGCCTCTAGCTTCATCGCGTCTGTCTCTTGTCTCCTCCCCTGCAGTGTGACGACTTGGTCCACAGCCTGTCACCCCCGCTGGCGATGTTGGGGGAGCTGAAGCCCCCGCACCGGCAGGACCTCACAGCCTTCCTGCGGCTGGTGGGGTACAGGGTGCAGGGCGGGTGTCCTTGCCTGGAAGACGGGGTCGGCAGCCAGAAGCTCTTCTCTACGGCCTATTTCTTGGTCAGCGCGCTAGCAGGTATGGAAAAAAGGAAAAAATGCTGTTGTTGCCTTGGAACTGCTTTGCTTGCTGCTTCGGAAGCTTTGGTACACATGGTCCCCTGCCTTTGAGCAGTACAGGCAGGACAGGAAGGGGAAGGCTGGCGACGTTTACATGATTGCCAGGAAAAGTCAGCGGCTTAGGCACAAAGGAGGCCTGTTCTCGGCCTCCTGCACGCTCCCAGGAGCGCCCCTCTGCCCTCCGCCAGCGCGGGCATGGAGGGCACAGCCTCCCCAGGCACAGCTGTGGTTCACGCCGGTCCCGGCCCTGCTGAGTGGTTTCCTCCTCCTCATCCTCTTGTTCCTACTCGCAAACTCATTGCCCTGCTCCCAGGGCAGCGTGGTGGCCATTGGGCAGGGAGGCTGCGGAGAGCCTCGGATGCAGCTCCACAGCGTCCACACTGGTCCAGAAATGGCGCTCCCCAGGGCACGGCCACCCAGTTAGTGTCCGGCAGTGGACCTGCCCTGCCCCTTCTCTCCCACTCCCATCCAGAACTCACCAGGCTGCGGGGTCTGGTACCAGAAGGTGGTTATCCTGTGTGAGGAAGCAGGGGTCTCAGTTCCTTCTCAGAAAGGCAAGACCTGGCAAACCAGCCCAGTCTTCTAGTCCCCACAACTTCCCCCAAGGAGATATGAGTCAGGGCATTGAGTTCCTGATGCATTCAGGGTTCCTCCCCAGCACCACACAAGAATGGAGGCCCAGGAATCTCCACCTTTTAAAGGATTAATCAGAGAGAATGCCTCTCTTCTATATGCTGATGAATGTATGCCCTATGTCTTGTTCCAGGTCATGAATAAAAGTTTTGACTGGGACAGGACATAAGACAGAGCACTGTGGAACTCCGCTAGAGCCCTTTCCCCTGATGTTAACATCAGTATATCAGACAGAGTCCTCAAATACAGGCATTCTATCAGGGGCTAATCCACAGGCCAGAGTTCTCCAGCTTGTAAGAGGCCTTTTCTGCACATGCCATATTACTTACTGAAGCATTTCTATCAATAGGCTGGAGCAGTGATGTCAAATAGGTAGCACATGGCCAACATTGCAAATGCACCACAGTCCCCTTCTCCCTGAGCCTGGACACAGCTGCAGATTCTCTGCAACCTTGCACACAGGCAGCCACCTAGAACTGACACATACCGTGAGACTTACTTCTTGTTTCTGAGCTTGGAAGCCTGGGGATAGTGAAATCTTTAAGTGCTCCTGAAGACATCTGCAGCGGATTTCTAAACCAACGACGCCCTTTTGCATCTCTGAACTGAGATCTCATTTACCTGTCAGTCACAGCGGAGGTCAGATCAGTATAAAACTTTTCTGTTAGTGCTCCTGTTAATCTTCGGCCCGTCTGAGTTGATGTTTTCCTCCTACAATGACAGTCTTCTCTCCTTAGAATCTGGGGAACGTGCTAGAATAGAAAATGGCCTCATCTCGAGTCCTATTTCCAGCTTTCTAAAGAATAACTCCAGTTTTTGGCTTTATAGTGCTTAACTTTTTGGGGGAGGATATAAATGATGTAAAATTATATTAGTTTTAGGTGTACAACACAATGATTTGATATTTGTATATATTGCAATATGATCATAACAATATGTCTAGTTAACATTCATCACCTTACATAGTTACCAAATTTATTTTTTTCTTGCGTTGAGAACTTTTAAGATTGACTCTCTTAGCAATTTTCAAATATACAATATAGTATAGTTAACTGTAGTCACCATGTTGTACATTTCATCCCCATGACTTATTTATTTTACAACTGGAAGTTTGTGCTTTTTGATGACCTTCACCCATTTTCCCACCTCTTACCCCCTGCTTCTGGCAACCAGCAATCTGTTCTCCATATCTATGAGCTTTTTTTTTTTTTTTTAAGATAACCTAAGTTAGTCATACAGTATTTGTCTTTCTCTGATTTATTTCGCTTAGCATAATGCCCCCAAGGACCATCCATGTTGTCGCAAATGGCAAGTTTTCTTTATTTTTATGTCTGAATAATATTCCATTGTATATATTGCACATTTTCTTTATCCCTTCATCCATCAATGGACACTTTGGTTGTTTTCATATCTTAGCTGTTTTAAGTAAGCTCCAATGAACAGGGGGTGCACATATCTTTTTGATTTAGTGGAATTGCTGGATCAGATGGTAATTCTATTTCTAACTTTTTGAGGAGTCTCCATACTGTTTTTCTTAGTGGCTGCACGAGTTTACACTCCCACCAGCAGTGTACGAGGGTTCCCTTTTCTCCACATCCTCTCCAACACTTGTTATTTCTTGTCTCTTTAGTGATAGCTATTCTGATGGCTGTGAGGTGATCTCATTGTGGTTTTGATTTGCATTTCGCTGAAGATTAGTGATGAGCACCTTTTCATGTACCCACCAGCCATCTGTATGTCTTCTTTAGAAAAATGTCTATTCAGATCCTCTGCCCATTTTTAATTGATTACTGGTTTTTTGCTATTGAGTTCTATGATTTCTTTATATATTTTGGATGTTAACCTCTTGTCAGATATATGATTTGCAATTTTTTTTCCCGTTCAGTAGGTTGGCATTCATTTTGTTGATGAGTCCTTTGCTGCGTACAAGTTTTTTAGTTTGATCTAGTCCCACTTGTGTATTTTTGCTTTTGTTGCCTTCACTTTTGGTGTCAAATCCAAAAAAATCATTGCCAAGACCGATGTCAAGGAGCTTACCGCCTATGTTTTCTTCTAGAAATTTTATGGTTTCAGGTCTTATGTTCAAATCTTTGATCCATTTTGAGTTAATTTTTGTGTCTGGTCTAAGACAGTGGTCCAGTTTCATTCTTTTGCATGTGGCTCTCCAGTTTCCCCAATACTTTTTATTGAAGAGACTGTCTTTTCCCCATGGTATATTCTTAGCTCCTTTGTTGTAAATGAATTGACCATGTATGTGTGGTTTAGCCAGCGCTGGTGATCTAGTGGTTAAGATTCGGCATTCTTACCGCTGCAAGCTGCCTTATTTTCCTGGTCAGGGAACCACACCACCTGTCTGTCGGTTGTCATACTGTGGTGGCTGTGTGTTGCTGTGATGCTGAAAGCTATGCCACTACTATTTCAAATACCAGCAGGGTCACCCATGGTGGACAGGTTTCAGTGGAGCTTCCAGACTAATACAGACTAGGAAAAAGGACCTGGCCACCCACTTGTAAAAAATTGGCATGTAAACCCTATGAATAGCAGTGGAGCATTGTCTGATAGGTGAGAGGATGGTGCAGAATACTGGGCAGGGTTCTGCTCTGCTGTACACGGGTCTCTATGAGTCAGAATTGACTTGCTGGCACTAACAACAGATGCATGGGTTTATGGCCTCTCTGCTCTGTTCTATTGATCTATGTGTCTGTCTTTATGCCAATACCATACTGTTTGAATTACTGTAGATTTGTAATGTAGTTTGAAATTAGGGAGTGTGATGCCTCCAAATTTGTTCTTTCTCAATATTGCCTTGCCTATTCAGGGTCTTTTATGGTTCCATAAAAATTTTAGGTTTGTTCTATTTCTGTGAAAAATGCCGTTGGATTTTGATAAGGATTATGTGGAATCTGTAGATTGCTTTTGGTAGTATGGACGTTTTAACAATGTTAATTCTTCCAGTCCATGAGCACAGGATAGCTTTCCATTTGTTGGTGTCTTCTTCAATTTCTTTCATCAATGTCTTAATAGTTTTCAGTGTACAGGTCTTTCACCTCCATGATTAAATTTATTCCTAGGTGTTTTATTCTTTTTGATGCAATTGTAAGTGGGATTGTTTTCTTAATTTCTCTTTCTGATAGTTCGCTATTAGTGTATAGAAGCAAGAGAGATCTTTGTATATTGGCTCTGTATCCTGCAACTTTACTGAATTTATTAGTTCAAACAGTTTGTTGGTGGAGTCCTGAGGGTTTTCTCTACAGCTGCACCTTGTTTTAGTACACTTCGCTTTATTCCGCTTCACAGATATTGCATTTTTAATGAACTGAAGGTTTGTGGCAACCCTGCATCAAGCAAGTCTGTGGATGCCATTTTTCCAAGAGCATTTGCTTACTTTGTGCCTCTGTGTCACATTTTGATAATTCTCGCAATATTCGAAACTTTTTCATTATTGTTATATTTGTTATGATGGTCTGTGATCAGTGATCTCTGATGTTACTATCGTAATTGTTTTGGGGCACCATGAACTATGCCCATCTAAGTCAGCAAACTTAACTGATAAATGTTGTGTGTGTTCTGACTGCCCCGCCACCCAGCCAGCCCCCCGTCTCTCTCCCTCTCTTTGGGATTCCCTATTCCCTGAGGCACAACAATATTGAAATGAGGCCAATTAATAACCTGACAATGGCCTCTAAGTGTTCAAGTGAAAGGAAAAGTCACATGACTCTCAGCTTAAATAAAAAACTAGAAATGATTAAGTTTAGTGAGGATGGTGTGTCGAAAACCGAGACAAGCTGAAAGCTGGGCCTCTTGTGCCAAACAGTTAGCCAAGTTGTGAATGTGAAGGAAAAATTCTTCAAGGAAAATAAAAAGTACTACTCCAGTGAACACATGAATGATAGGAAAGTGAAACAGCCTCACTGCTGATATGGAGAAAGTTTTGTGGTCTGGATAGAAGGTCAAACCAGCCGCAACATTCCCTTAAACCAAAGCCTAATCCAGAGCAAGGCCCTAACTCTGTTTAATTCTACGAAGGCTGAGAGAGGTGAGGAAGCTGCAGAAGGAAAGTTTGAAGCTAGCAGAGGTCGGTTCATGAGATTTAAGGAAAGAAGCCGTCTCCATAACAAAAAAGTGCCAGGTGACGCAGCAAGTGCTGATGGAGAAGCTGCAGCAAGTTCTCCAGAAGATCTAGCTCAGCTAATTAACAAAGGCGGTTATACTAAACCACAGATTTTCAATGTAGATGAAACAGCCTTCTATTGGGAGAAGATGCCATCTAGGACTTTCACGGCTAGAGAGGAGAAATCAATGCCTGGCCTCAAAGCTTCAAAGGAC